CACACACATATACATATATATATATACACATATACATATATATGTATGAATAAAAAGTATATCCGCGTTAGTCTGTACAGTATAGAAAGTATAAAGTAAATAACAGCAGCACTTTTGAGACTAACAATATATAATTTATTCTCTAGCTTCGCTAGCTATATAAAGGACACAACAGACTTTCTTATGAAACTTAACAATATCAATAATTTGCCTGAAAACACCTTACTTGCAACAATGAATCATGTAAAATCGCTATACACGAATATACCCCACCAAGATGGGCTGGATGCTATTAAACACACATTGCCGAGTAATATTTCACGTAATATATATTGTTTAGCAGAATTCGTGTTAACACACAACCATTTCATCTTTAACGGATCACACTACCTTCAAATCAATGGTACAGCGATGGGAACGTGCATGGCACCCCAATACGCGAACGTCTTCATGTCCAACTTAGAGAAACGTTTCCTTGACACCCGCACACTCCAACCCACACTCTACCTTCGTTTCATTGATGATATCTTTATTATATGGCCCCATGGAGAAGATTCTTTCAACAAATTTTATACTGATTTTAACTCATTTCATAGAACTATCAAGTTTACCGTTGATATATCTAAGGACTCAGTTGACTTTTTGGACACTACAGTTAAGTTAAATAATGGCCATCTTAGTACATTCATATATAAGAAACCTACTGACACCCAACAATACTTACACGCAACTAGCGCACACCCTAAACATTTTACTCGGTCTATTGTATATAGCCAATCCCTCTGTTACAACCGCATTTGTTCTGATACTACAGACAGAGATAATCATTTAACAGAACTAGCTAACACATTTAAGAAACTTAAGTATGACAAACAAGTAGTTGTCAAACAGATAGAGAAAGCTAAGCGTATACCACGCCAAGACCTACTGCAATACAACGAAAAGACATCCTCTAACCGCACATCGTTAATAACTACGTATCACCCATCACTCAACAAACCCCTCAAGCGCACCATAGATGATCTACAACCCGTCCTACATGATGAAGCCCTCAATGATATTTTTAAGGACAAACCTGTCATTGCCTTTAAACAGCCCCCTAATCTGAAACAACATTTAGTTAAAAAGTAAACTTCCCACTAACAGCGACAATGGCACATTCCCTTGCAATACTAGGACATGCAAACTTTGTCCACATATCAAATCCAGTTACATTGTCAAAGGACCTAACAATAATCGTTTCAACATAAAAGGCACTTATAACTGCATGTCATCCAACATTATATATGCTATATCGTGCAATATTTGCCCTAATGCTCTCTACATCGGACAAACTGGACAAACACTAAGACAACGGATTAATGGTCATAAACATGACATCAAACACAAACTCACCCAAAAACCTGTAGCTAATCATTTTGCATCTTCTGGACACTCAATTAAGAATATGAAAGTGCAAGTAGTTAAGAAAGAATTTTTCAAAAATAGTTTAGAACGAGAAATAGCTGAACAGAAAATAATTACACAATTAGACTGTATAGAACTAGGCCTTAACATTGATCGAGGATTCCTCGCACATTACCGTCAATAATTATTTCTCATCATTGTATGTATATTTTTATATTTCTATAGCTGCCTTATTATTAACTATATTTTTGTCTCATAGTTACCTTACTGTATTTACTGCCTATTTGCTGTTTTTATCATTGACTTTGACATAGACTTATTCTGTATGCTATTTCCCACAGTTTCTTATCATTGACTGTTTATTTAGATTGCTTATTTCGGCAGACTTGTACTTGCTTTGAACACCATTCTTTGTTGTTTTAGGACCGCCCCCATTAATTCAGTTGTATATTATAGTTGTTTCTTATCCCATTTGTACAGTCTCCTGATGAAGTCCACTGTGTGTACGTAAGCTAGAGAATAAATTATATATTGTTAGTCTCAAAAGTGCTGCTGTTATTTACCTTATACTTTATATATATGTATATATACTTATATCATAAACCTCTACATAAATATCTTCATAATTACAAGTACAAAATATTTCAAAATGTTACGTACACAACAAACCTTACAACAACCATATTTCCTTTAATATCACTGTACACGACATCACACCTTTCCTAACTGTTAATGATGATGCATACAACTACTATAACTTTAAATGTTTTACTTTATGCTCAATACACATAACACCACTCCACACAACCTCCAATCACCGACAGCAATTAAACATGCCAGCTATTGGCAGGTGGGCTATTGCATCATTGATGCTCTCGTTTGTATAAAACATTGCTAAACCTCCAAAAACACAGTGCAAACCCCATCCAAACTCTGTGATAATGATTGAATCACATAAGTATAGGACTCAATTTGGTATCTCAATAAAAAGAATCATAATTTTATGTTTAAGAACAGTATTTTATTGAGAGGAATAAGAAGATTCATGTCACTTGTATTCCTATTATTTCATAGTTTCCTAATGTACACAAACAAAGAAGAATTGCATAAGCAAGCTAACTGGGAAGGCAAAGGGCTGGCATCAAGAACAAAACTTATGGAACAGCTTCAAGGTGAGTGTGACTATTAATTTACATAAACAGAACTGAATTGGCCAACTTTAATATTGCCCTTAATTCTTGATCACAAATATTTCTGTAAGCAAGATCTTAAGTGAACTGTTTCCTTCTGGTGATTATGAGTTTGTGCCCAAGGATTTCACTACAGTACAGCTTAGCTCAGATGCTAAACTGGTGGTAGTCATTGTGTGTGCTATGTGGCTCATGTGTGTCAAATACTCCAGACTCAAATAGAACAACACGTAAATATGATAATCAATGTTCACTACCGTATATTCCGGTGTATAAGCCGCACCTGTGTATAAGCCGCCCCCCCCCCCAAAATTAGGACGCGAATATCACAATTTTTTGTGTCACCTGTGTGTAAGCCGCACCTATTTTAAAGCTCCAAACCGTTCCCATAATGTTAAGTTTTTAATTATTTTGAAACATTGACATTATTTATAAATGTTCACATAAAGAAATTTAATCTTTTTCGGCTGATTATTAAACAAACAACAACTGGAAATGCGTATAAACTGCTGGCTACCGCCATGTTAACAACGTACTTGCTCTAGGCAACCGGCCATAGGGAAATCCCCATTTTTTGCTAGACGGTCGTTAAATTTTTAACATCAGTTTAGTTTAAGCAGTTTAATAAAATAAAACACTTATTGAGTATATTTATCTATTTTAAACAATCATTCTATTATTATGTTGACTAATACAGTTGGTATTATGCTAAAAATATTGGTAATTCTAGGCCTAAGTCATTACTAACTACTCACAGCCCACTGTGTGAAGCATGGACCATCACGCACCACGTTTTATAAACAAAACTCAGAACTGGAGAAATATCATGGATACGGAGTTCACGCATGCCCATGATGTATGCCTTTCTACAGTTAAATTCCAGTAAAATAATTATTACAACTTCAAGAAAACTCGTGTTTTTTGTTTTATACGAACAAACTGTACATTGTACAGCCATGTACTGTGATACCATGTGAGCAAGTAAGAGACAATAACTGCTTTACCCACTCTATAAGTAACAAACAAACACTTGTATGCAAATGTGGTTATTAGACCATAACAAAGTGATACACTACAATGTGCGTGTTAAAAAAACACAGAATGCTCTTCAAAAAAAAAAAAAGAAAGAAAAAGAAAAACACCAGGGGATTGTCTCTAGCTGGTGTAATGCCCAGTTCACCTCCAGAAGGATCCTACAGAAATTGTCTTTCATCGATTTATCTTTGGTGTGTTTGACTCGAAAGAAAACCAACCAAGTAATGATCCCTGTGGGCATTGTCATGAATAGACACATAGATTGATATGAGGTGGGTAATTCAAAAGCTGACAGCACTAGGCATAAATCCTAGGTAAACTCCATTATTTCTAATTATAGAGGGTTTTAATGGATTAAAAAGATCTAATTAACGTAATACAAATTACCAATTTGATATACAGTTGACTAAACACCTACATCATGTATTGTTGCCTACTGTATGCATTGTACAGAAATGTGAGATTAAGTATATATAAAAGATGCTATACCATTCCCATCCAACAATTTTAGATGAAAGTTCTATTTATAGTTACTGGTTTTTTTTAAACTTTCAACCTGTAGTGTTTTTCCCGCCATCTGTAATGCTACCACCAAGACGAATGCACAACCTATTAAAACAAGCACTGGAGTACCAGCAGCAGAGGTGTCCTTATCACAACACTAAGATACCTGATAACATAGAATCTGTTTCATTACTCACAGATCATAGCTGCAGTAGGTAAGATGAAAACAAAATGAGTATTATACACCTACATGACAGTCATGTATCAGTATAGTTAATAGTAGGTTGCAGAGTAGTAGGCCTCTAGGCTAGGCTAGGAAGTAAGTACTTTTTCAATCCTTCGATCATACTGTATCACGTCCCACATGTCAAACTTATGCATACTGGTAAGTGAACGCTTTAATTTTGTGGCCCAATATAGGTATTGTTGTAGGTTGCGGCATCCCCGCTAACCGCTCGGTCATTTAATCTCAAATCATTCATATACCATTTGTTATAAAAAAAAATGTTATACCCAAAACTGTTACTAATTTTTGACCCATGTCACAAGGCATTTATTACCGGCATTATATTAAGGTCATAGTGTTCTTATGTCTTGGTAAGCACTGGTAAACGGGATTTGCTTTTTGTGTCAAAAATTGTGACCTCTATGGTGAAAGAGATTGGTCCTTGACCATGTTACGGATTGGCGTGAAGACGATAAACAAAATAATGGAACCTTGTTAATTTGAGCTCCTGTATGAAGAAGGAATAGCCTAGGCCTCATTACTTCTTGATGAAGCCAATAGCAAAATCACCAAAAGACAAATTGAATATGTGTGGATGCTGTTGAAATTCAAAGAAGAGCTAGACACACTCTTTGATCCCCTAGACCCTAGGCCCAGTAGAGTAGTAGGCCTCTAGGCTAGGCTAGGAAGTAAGTACTTTTTTTTTTTCTATGTATGAGGTATATAAAACAAATATTGACTGTTCTAGATTCGGGGAACGGTGAAATCTATTTTCCCCCGGTGGAGACTTCACCGAGGAGCAATAGACTTCACCATTCCCCCATGAGTAATCAATGTTTGTATAATGTATATACACAGCTGAGTCCGCCTAAGTCGAATCAATGGGACTGGTAGCATAGAAATTTAGAGTTTTTGAGAAAAAAATATTATCGTAGAATAATACTATGTGTACGCAATTCCCGGATATCTAAATTTCATACAAAATCCTGTCCCAAAATTATTCCTATTTTTCCTTTAATAAAAAACTCTCCGAAAATAGGAATTCCCTATTCCGAATCTCAGATAATTTGTCCAATTCAGGATGATAAAATTCACTGCTAAAAGAACCGCACGGCAAGTATACCAGATGTTGTAAAAACAAGATGTTAGCTGTTATATTCCAACAGCATTTGCCATGAAGATTATTAGTTCCTATGCATGTATGTCAAATCACTCTTGTATGACTTGTGTGTGTGTGTGTGTGTTGACATTGTCAGGAAAAGTTTTCTAATATTTTGTTTTACTGACAGTAACTTTCCTAATGGTCAACGTGGGATTAAGTGTTTCGTAAATAGCCATCCATCCCTTTTTTCACACTGCACTCAATCTCGCATTGGCTGTGGAAAATATCAAGCTCCATTAACATATAAACTTAAACATAATTACTGTGTTTATTGATACTGCATTTAGTAAATAGGCCTAACCACTTTCAAATAGAACCAAATATTGTTATATTACTGGAATTTTATTTTTTTAAATATATTTTAACTCTTTTTTGTACATAGACATTTTGACCTGAACTTGACCCGTTTATTCAAAAGTATTGTTGATCACAAGTTGATAAAAATTTGAGCAATGACTGGCTTCGTCTTGTTTTCAACTTTGATAGACGTGCGGTAAAACAAGTTTAGTTTAAAATGATATGAATATTCCACTGGGTTATCAGCCGCTTGTAGTTACAAACTCCACGTTTTAAAAAATTGCATAAAATTGACATGTCGTCCTTGGAGTTGAGTATCACTATCACATAGCTTACAGTAGGTCAGCAAAATGTGTTATAACAAACTATGTTTTATTTGTATTTATAATTTGCGTAGAAATTTCACACTTATGTGCTATAAAAATAGTATTATGTATAAAGTGTGCTGATGGATATTTATGAATTACATTTGAAGTACTACAGATAAATTATTTAGTCCAAACCTGTGTGAGGCTATAAGTTTCTTACCGCCACTATCTTTGTATTGTATTGTGTAGGTTGTCTTTTCCTTGCAAGACGAAACAGATTTTAACAGATCACTGTGATGAGGTGCTGTATAGTTGTTTCTCTCCAAATGGCTGCAAATTGGCCACTGGTTCTAAAGATGGCACTCTGATCATTTGGGATGTTATAAAGGTAAAGCTGAGGAAATATTTCCTGTCCTACTAAAGTGTAAATATTTCAGATCCTTGTGTAATTGCTTTTTCCTTACCGATGTAGCTACAAAATTTATTCATATACAAAGGAGTACATATGCATAAACATTGGCTTGTCAACAGTTAATTAGACCAAAGTAAAAAACGTGTTTGTTTCCAGTCCAGCATCTAAGTGGAATATTTTTCACTGCCACCCACCCACCCACAACTGTATACAATAGGAAATCCTCATCAAAAGTCACAAAAACTAGGAAAAAATAATGTTTAATCTAAAATAAATCCCAGGCAGGATTGCTGTTTGATAGAATAACCATGTGTTGTTATGGATTTGTGTAAACACTTTTTATTAGAATCAGAATCAAATTATTTTTATTATTTTTGTAATGTTATTATAAGTGATATAAGTTATATTATTACTTTGCTCTTCACAGGAAACTCATAAACTGAAGTTGGCTCACTCATTAGATGGTAATTCAAGTGGTGTGTTTTTTATGTCTTGGAGTCCAGATAGTAAATATATCATTGCATGCGGCCCAGATGACTGTGCTGATTTATGGATATGGAATGCAGAGGTAAGAGAGGCCACACCCTTGATTACTAGGAGTACTGATCCCATTGTCATTGAAAAATCCTCAGTTATTGATGGTATTTCAGATCATCAGACTATCACCTCTACCCTCAACTTAAACATGCACACAATATTGAAATACAAATTTGCTCTAGGAATGTCTCTGCAATTGATATTCCTAGTTTTCAGAGTGACATAACTCAACTTAACTGCATCTCTTACGATGTATCTGAGAATTGTTTAAATGATCAAGTCAGCCTTTTTTAACAACACGCTTGAATATGCCATCGATTTCCACGCTCCTAAAAAAACGAGTCGAGTTGAGCTACATCTATTTTCTCAATGGTTTAACGAAAGAATTTGTTGAGCCAAGCGGAACATCTTCGACTTGAGCGTCAGTGGAGAGGAACGAAATCAAATGGTGATCATCAGCATTACCTATGGCAGAGAAACCTTGTTGTCCATGAAATTGAGAAAGCCAAGTCTAACTATTATTTGTCATTGTTCAGTGAACATGCAAAGGATAGGAAGACTATTTTTATTTATTTATTTATTTATTTATTTGTTATTTATACTGGGTTTCCTCTTCAGTAACAAATTACTGTTCTCCCAGAGCGCCCAGTACACATAAAACAGTCCACGACACACAAGACAAACATACATACATGATGCTTTACACAAACTAAATCTCAATATGAGGTTTAGGGAGTGGAGTTGTTTTGGTCATGAGAAAAATCCTGCAACTGACAGGAATTGAACCCATGACCCTGGGATTAGAAGGCAAGCATCTTAACCACCAAGCTATTCTAATTCTAATGTTAATGTTGCAGAATCCTTCCTAAAATTTTTCTCAGAAAAGGTTGAAAATGTACTACGTGAACTTCACCCTGTAATGGATCCACACATTATTGACCGTGGCTGCTCTGTCCCCACTCTAACAAACTTCAGCGAAGTTTGTAGTTTAGATGTAATTTCTCTACTTAAGGCGTCATCATCATCATCTGACCTAGATCCAATCCCTACTTCTCTACTCAAGTGTCATATAGTCATCAGGCCAATCTTCAACCTCTCATTTTCTCAAAATTGATTGAAAGGACTGGTCCTTCAAGTTTGTCCCATGTTATTTCAGATGACCTCTTGGATGACATTTAACTTCAGACAGACAAGGGTAAGGTCTCTATCCTGTTATTATTGAACCATTAATCCGTTTTTGATACATTGGATCATAATATTTTATTTGCAAGGCTGAACTGCTGGTTTGGGATTCAGGGATGTGCTCTTAATTGGTTTAAGTCTTATCTCTCTGAACGAACAGCATTTTATTCAAAAATACATGATGCAGTCTGAAGAACGGTAACTGTTAGTCATGGCATTCCTCAAGGTTCTATCCTTGGGCCTGTACTCTTTTCAATCTACATAACTCCAATTGTTAAAATAATCAAGTCTCATGGCTCATGGCCTAAGTTATTGTTACTATTCAGATGATATTAGGTTTATTCATTTGCTAATCCAAATCTGACTGATCTTGCACTGTCTTTATCAAAGGTTGAGAATTGTATTTAGGAAATCCAGACATGGCTTACTGCAAATTCAGTGTATGGTTGTTGGTTCCCGCCGCAACCTTAATAAAGTGGGGTACCACAAATTAGTTGTTGTGATATTGCCATACAGCTATCCCAAACGTGCAAAAACTTGGGATTTACTTTTGCTAGCCAATTGTCCATGGTATATCATGTCAATGCATTCTGTCAAGCATCTCATCTGCACATTTGAAATATTGGAAGAATTCGTAAGAACATTAATACCTCTGTCACTGAAATCCTTGTCAGTTCATTTATTACGTCAAGATTAGATTTCTGTAACTCAGTTCTTTTTGGCTTCCCTATCTCTCACAGACATAAGTTTATAGCCATCTTTTGGTACACAACGATATGGCAGTCACAGTAACGCTAGGTACTTGCAGTAGGGATGATGATGAAGATGATGGTTGTAGTGATTATATCAAATTAACATTTACAGAAGTAATTAGAATAATTCAATCAATCGTAGATTTATTTGGTGCAAGTATCTATAATCCATGATATGGAGGTGCTCGTGGCGCTACTGCCTAAAAAATTACGATGCATGTAATCTCAACAAGAAAGGAGAAAAGTACAATGAATGAAGAAGAAAACAAAAAAAGAACAAAAAAGAAAAAAAAAAATAATGAAAGTGAGAACGGAAATGGAAAGTTTAAGTTCAACCCAACCGATGCTTAGAGAGAGTTCATTCCAACAAGGGGCCAGCAAGATATTCGGGAGATTCGTGCATTAGTGCTTTATAAACTTTATATTGTACCTATTATACCTATTGTGTAATAGAGTGTATCTGGTGGTATTTGAATCTGTTCAACCATGAAGCCTCCATGGTCTAGTGGTTATGACACTCGCCTTGACAACGAGAGGTCGCAGGTTTGAGTCCCGCCAGAGGCATTTTATTACACAATTTCTTTATTCATTTATTTACAGGACTACATTCGTTGAGAGCTATGCTACACGATGTATTTATTAAGTCCTTTATTCGAACG